GAGATTGTATGCTGGCTCGTGTTTATTAATTCAATAAATCAGTTCGCACAGTGATTATTTAAGTATCTGAAAGATATAATTTTAAAAGTACCATATATAGAAAACATAAAAATGTATAAATGATTATAGATTTCACTTCGGCACAAAATACACTTATCATTATTACTTAAGAAAGTCCTTACACCCAGCATGTTTTCTATGACATTAAAATTTCTAAAATAATCACTAAGTATATTTACAGGTACCTTTATGTCCACCGGAATTCATTTGAGGTTTCTTCACAATGTATCCAAGATACCCTAAGATACGTAACAAATATTTACACGTTTGTTAATTAGAAGCTTTCAAACTGTTGAACTATGTATGTGTCATATTCTATAATTAATCGTACTTACTTGATTATCGAAATTTTTGTCTCACCAACGATTGATTGAGAAATTTAACTTATTTGCTATTAAACTGGTTTCAGTCCTATTTTCGTCCCCCCCCAGTGGCGCAACGGTATGTCTGCGGACTTATAACGCTAGAATCCGGGTATCGATACCCGTGGAGGGCAGAGCACAGATAGCCCATTGTGAAAGCTTTGTGCTTACTTACAAACAAACAGTTCTATTTTCACATAATTACAAGTTTTTTTTTTGTTTTTTTTTTCAGACGTACTGGAGAAAACGGAAAAGTTTTTTTATAGGGTACATGTAAAGTTATATAAGGTCAGGATGATTTGTGCATGGTCTAACAGTTAGCGTGTCGGATGGGCATAATGATTCTGAAAAGGTTACCTACTATTCAAATCGAAGACTCTGAGAAGCCCCAGTGGCGGAGGATTCCGCTGACTGAATGCCTCTTTCTGAACAGTAGTTCTAATATTAGATAATTCGTAGTTGAATACTACAGGTCTAGGCTGTTTACTCTTATTAAAAATTATAATTCTAAGTACTAGTTGAAGCTTAAAAATGCTGTATAAAAATCAACGAATTTCACACACACGTTAATCCAATAAATTACATAATTCAGTGTTTTTAAAGTATTTAGGTGACATAAATTTCTTTTTTAATGCACTAAATGGGTAATGATTTGTTTGTTTGAAGTTAAGCACAAAGCAACACAATGGGCTATCTGTGATCTGCCCACCACGAGTATTGAAACCCGGATTCTAGCGTTGTAAGTTTGCAGACATGCCGCTGTGCCGCTGGGGGGCGTATAGAAAAAGAAATTAAAAGAAATATAAATGATGATATATTTTACTTGAGAGATAAACATTCCTCCCCATTTCTACTTAGGAAATAAACCCTGTATGTTTTCTTCGCCGTCTAACAGAATAAAACAACCACTTAGATCTTCACTGATACCTTTGTATCCAACAGAAGGAAGTTGAAGTCTCTCTACATTATGTACATTATAATTTCAGAAATAAAGTTTTAGAATTTCGAGAGCAAATAGACAATAAACGTGGAAAAATTATTGTAAAACTACGAAACAATGAGTAAGAACAAATATTCAAAAATCACATTTAATTAAAGAGGCCAACCTTCGCGGGCGAATGCAACAAGCCCCCCACCCCCACACAATCCCAACATGGCCAATTTTGGCCCCCCCCAAAAAAAATCTTGAAAAATACAAGAAAAATCTAAAACTGTCTTTATCATTGCTTGGTATTTGCAAAAAGGCATTTCTTTTAATCAGATCCCATGAAAGTTGGTTGAGATACACATGAATAGTTCACGAAAACCCCAAGTCGCACTTTCCTTGCTGAAAAATTGAGCAAAAGCAAAAATTCTAAAATTGTCTGTGACATGCAACGAGTACCTTTTTACCAAACTCCGTGTAAATGTATCGAAACAAGGCTAAGTGGTTGACCAGAACCCCCCAATTATGGGTTCATTTAACTATTTGACCGCCTAAAATGACCAAAAAGAGCCATATCCCACATTTTTTGTACACATGTGTATGGGACCTATAGAAAAGTAGCTTTGTACCAAATCCCATCTAAATTGTCCGAAATATGGCGAAGACATTGTAAAAAAACCATAGAAATTATGCTTTTTGTGGCATCTTGATCTCCCTATAATTACTAAAAAATGGGCAAGTCTATCATTTGTGTTTGTCCCATGTTAGTTGGTCAAAATACGGCCGAGTAATTGACCAGAAAAACCCTACAATTATGCTATTTAATTAGTTCTGAATCCCAAAAAGGATTCAAAATAGGAAAAATCCATGTTTTTTTCTATATCAATGTGTTAAGCGCTTAAAAATGTATATTTATATCAGTTTTCATTTTGATTGCTGTAAATATGAGCGCACTGTAGCCCAAAATAAACATTTTTTGGGTTATTTGACATTTAACCACATAAAATACTTAAAAAGGCCAAAATAAAAGGATTCTTGTACTAAGGTATAATCTTATCAAGTTTCAAGTCAATCCGCTGAGAAATGAAGGAATGGCTGTCGATAGAAAAGTGTTTGGAAGAAAAACAATAGAAAAACAGTATGTCTCTCTACGAAGACATGAATATATACATTATTGTTTATACTGCTTTATCTTCTATAAGAAACAAACTTCAGAATTTACTGTTTCTCGTGTATTCTTGCAGTATTATGCATTTTGTTTCAATTTCTTTTATTCGAGTTTCTCCTTTTCTTAATGATTATCTTTTTTGTCCATCAAATTGCAATGGATTGTAGTCACATACATTTCGAAAGTTTATCAGCTAAACACGTTTCGTATCACAGTCTTAGAACCAACTGAAATAATTTGAAAAATTCATTCCGCAATGGATAGAATTATTGTTTTAGGACAAAGTGATACTAGGCCTCTAATTCTCTGCAAATATCAATTATTCAAAATGTTCAGCAAAAATTGTAAATTATGCATTTGACACAATAAAGCACCATTGTTAACTTAACAGTTGCTGAAACTAATACTAACCCTTAACAATGCAATGAAGTATCCCACTTCAAGGCTCTAGCTTGTTCAGCTGGATTGGGAAAACAAATCAAATGCTTGTTTATAGGAGTCTTTATCAATTCAAAGTAGTGTATTTGTGGATGTAGAATAGCCCTGCCAACTTTTAAAGATTGTTAGGTTCGTTCCTGGTTTAAATCGGTGATATTAAATATTTTGTCAAAATATACATCGACCGAACAAAAATTGAGAGTAGTTCAATAAATCATTCATATTTTAATTATCTAAAATATATAATTCTTTAAAGCACCAGATATAGAAAAAAAATATATATGATTATAAACTTCACTTGGTCACCAAATACACTTATCATTATTACTTCAGAAAGTCCTTACACCCCGCAAGTTTTCTATGACATTAAAGTTTCTAAAATAATCACTAAGTACTTTTACAGGTACCTTTATGTCCACCAGAAATCAGGCGAGGTTTCCTCTCATTGTATCCAAGATACCCTGGGATCCCTAATTTAAAAAAACACCACAAAAAATAATCGTACCGTAATTTAAACCTAAATCTAAAAGAAATCATTTCTTCTGTGGTATATCTATCACACTATATGACATATCACTGGAAGTATTTGTTTTTATGAAAACCTGTCAGAGATTCATTCATCTTAAGTGT